CTCGCGCGCTGCTGTCCTCCCTCTCCGTGCTTAGTTTATCTTTCCCCCTCCTTCCCCTCCCTTCCCTTTGGTTTTTGTTTTGTTTTGTTTTCTCCAGGCGGAAAACCGGCTGTATCAGCTGCAGGAGGATTTTCAAGCTCTGACCGAAAAGATAACGCTGAGAAATATCCTCTTTTTTTTTTAAGCTGTGTTTACCCGCACAAGTTTTGTGATGCATAAAAGGGAGACAGCTCCAGTTACGTCACTGGACTCGGTTTGTTTTTGCTGGTTTAGGTGACCAAATAGGTGTGGAAAAGCTTTCATTATTATTATTATTTATTACTTTTAGTTTGTATTTTAAAATCATGTTCATAAAATAGAGTTGTGCTCTTCCTGGATGGTTTGTCTCACATCACGGCATTGAACATCAATACATAAGAGGCAAAAGCATCTAGGGAACCTTTCATTTTTATCATGGAATTTAAAAAACCTTGTAAAATCATAGCATTATAACAAGTTCTCTTTAACTTTTTACTGGAAGAAATGGGCGAGCGCATCGATGACCTCGAGAAGCACGTTGCTGAGCTCATGGCAGAGGCTGGGGTAGAAAACACCAGTGAAGACTTGAGAGTAAAGAAATAGAGTGTCTCTGCATTTTATGCATTTCTACTTTGTTTTGAAATATAGGCAGCATCTGGCATGAAAATAGTTATATGTGTGTTATACCTGCATTTATTTGAATTTTAAAATGCACTGAGATTTTTTTTTAATTATGTTGGATTTGTTTTTGCCAGCAGCCTAAGAATACTGTTTTTCAAAAGAATACAAACTATGTTTTGCTGCATCTTTTACAGCAATTTGGCAGATAGAAGAGGTAGTGCAAACTAAACCCGAAGATGTAAATTGGGCTGTGCATTTGTTTAAATGAAAGGGGGAAGAAGAGAGCGTGGCTTCAAGCGCTGCTGCCTACCTGTTCTGCCCCTTGGGTGTGCAGCATGGCTCATCGAAGAATCTTATCTCATTTAAATTTTTATTTCTCTCTCTAAACGCTGCTTCAGCCTTCTGACGTGGCTTACAGCACTCCGTGTAAGCACCCATGTCCAGAACAACTGAGGAACGATTTGCCCTAGAAGCAGTAGGGTGTGCGGGTGGAAGGCCAAAGGGGGAACTTAAGCAGTGTTGGCAAACACCTGGTAATGTAAAATCGCACTGCATAAGGTGCCGTTACTATGTGCTGAGACTGGCAAACTGATGAAGTTCTGGTCTCTAGACCCATAGCTGATGCCTCAGTCAGCGTCTTAAGTATTTATGAAGATTTATCCCTTCAGCATTCCCTAGGTGCTGGTGAGAGCTTCTTCCTGTTGCTGCAAGCTTTCTAATTCAGATTGAGACAAAGGGGTTGTTACCACCGTTCAGTAGCTGCTTACACAAGAACAAAAAGAAATACCTGTAACATTGTTAAAGTATTTTAGGCATCTGTTAATTCTGTTGCCTTTCTCTTTGTGACTAAGAGTGAAATCACTTTCCCAAATATAGAAGGGCATCTCTTACATTAAACTGTAGAGACATGTTCATATTTTTATGCAGAATCCCACTCATGAATAATTAAAGAAACCCTTAACCTACTTACTTTCTTTGCAGCACTGAAATGAGGCTGTGATCAGGAAAGATGAAGGGAAACAGCAGAGCACTGAATCTGGGACAGTACCATCATCTGCAATCAGTGTCACTAGTCTCAAAGAGTCAGTGACAACAAACACTTGTATCAGCATTTTTTTCTTAATTAATTCTTCAGAAGAAGTAAACACTGCATTTATTCTTCTTAGTAGGACATTTTTTCATATGCTTGGGAAAGAACCATGACTTTCAGAGGAGACAAAAAAATAGTAACACTTTGTATAGAAAAGTGTATCCTATAGAGTGAATTACACTTTCTTACATTAAAAAAAGACAGGATATTTCATTTATTCTGATACTATCATCTTTAAAATTTCATGTTTTTATTGCCTTTAACTTAAATGTTTGTAAATAACAAGCTGCTTCCATAAAAAGAACTACTCCCTTTCTGTGTGCCTGCTTGATATGATATTCCTTTAGATTTGTATATTACAAAATGCAGACATAAATATTAAATATATAATCTATTTGATATTCTTGCAAATGTTCCTTAGCACCAATTTTGATTTATATTGAGTGAATATAAACTGCTCTGTGCTGAAAGAAAGGATAGTGCTGGTTCAGTGGATCCTTTTACCACCAGTCCACCTAAAGGTGTGCACACCCATATATGTAAGCAACACACAGGTATCTACATTTTGCTAATTTCAGCTAACATTTTGATGAAAATGGCTTGTTTTAAAGAGTAATTGGGTATTGGTGGCTTTGAAATAGGAAATCTACTTACCAAACATTGTGCTTTCTTCTGCATATTCTGAGTAGCATGTCCTAAATAAGACATCTGCTCTAACTTTCAAAATACAAGCATTTCTTCTGCATAGTCTGACTCGGTTACTGTTCATGCTCTAGCTCTAATTCAGCAGTTTAAAAAGAAACAAATGAACAAAAAACACCCACCAAAGACTCCATTACTACAGAAGAGGAATTTTCAGAAATGCAAATGGAAACCTCATACCCTAGGTAAATCTAATTCAAGCTTTATAAGTAGATACGCATTTGCTCTATCCATGAGCAAATTGTATGCTTGTGTGAGAAAGCACAGCAGCTCACCCCTCTTTCAAATGTTAACTGTGCAGCCAGCTCCAAAACTGCATTGCCTCAGACTTCACAAGGAATTATTTTAAACTGACTAGTATGTATAACCACTACATGAAAGAAAAACTCCACCATTGCAACTCAAGTGATTTCCTTTCCTTTTTTATATATATTTTATTTGATGGGGGGGAGGGGGATGAAAGGTAGAAGAGTCCAGATTTTTTCCTAATCTAAGTCCTATGATCTAATGGAGGTGAAAGACCAAGTTACTGTGCAAGAAAATCCTGCTAGAAGGGATAATTCCTCATCTTCAAGCTTATGATAGTGCATGGAATTACATTTTCATTCTCAACTTTAAAGCACTCAAAAAAGGACAGAAAAATAAGGGAACACGTTTTATTCCTTTAAAAAAGCAGTAATACAATTTTCCCCCAATATCCGCATAACAAAAGCAGATAAACACAGCTGAAATGTTTTTCTGCAAATAGGCTTTTCATGTAAAAAAATACATCATACTAGACAGAGTTAAGTCTTAATTTTAAAAAATGCAGGTATAGTATTCTCAATTGGACATTTCCACATTTCATGTTTTCTACTGTTTCAAACAGAATTCAAAGTTTTTAAATAATTCCAACTACACTCACAAAATTGTAGGTTTTTTTTTAATATATACATATTATGTACACACATTCACAAAGATAAATTTAAGTGGATGTGGGTTAAAAAAACCAAACACTAAGAAAATGTCAGTATCTGTATTTAGTGGAATAATCTTTTGGTGATACTACCAAACCTCGACCTTTGCGGGCTCCTCTATAAACAGTTTCTATAATGTCAATCATCTCTTGCTTATCTTCCATCGCCCAGTTGATCTTGTTGTTATTACCTGTACCTAAATCAATCATGATGTGTTTGTTCCTTTAATGAGAGAGAGAAGAGAGACAGGTTAATATGCTATTATATTTCAGGACATGAAAGCTAAACTATTTTCCCTAACCCACCAATAAGTAAGCCTGAAACAAAAGTGTTTACTTTTGCTTGAATATGTCAAGTTGACATTTTATTGACTATTTCTAAAGCTAGAGCAAGCTCTGCATCAACATCATTACTCAGCACTATTATCCTCAGTACTGTATTCTCCAAAGTTTCTATTTCTTTCCTACTGCCATCTACCTCTGCAGAGATATTTCCAGCCTTGCCAGTAGTCCATCTTATCTCAAAGGAGATGTCTTTGAGATACCTAGGATAGACCTTTAAAGCAAGTCTGACAAACTTGAGTGCCATACTCCTGAAACAATGTCTGCAGGGAATTTCGAGTTTACAACCATGGAAAAAAAAGAATGAGTACAAAGTTTTCATTTTCACTAATTTGTACTAAATTAGTAAATACACATTCATATCACCCCCATTCAGTAATTATATTTTATAGAAACTCTTTCATAGAATTTCTTATTTCACAGAAGCACTGTTTTGATTTGCTTGCACTGAAGGCAATCATGGCCTAGGAAGTGACACAAGTATTAATGTCTTATCAAAATGAAGTTACTAGACTAACTGGAAAACAAAGCATTTCTACTTACATTCCAATCCATTTATTCTAGAATAATAACAATGTAAGTATAAATATGCTGATATGTATTCAGAAAGGAACTATGATTCTACTGAGATGTTGCATTTGACACAAAAAAAAACCAAAACACATTCAATTGAATTTTCTCACAGAATGATTATGTACCTGAAGAAAAACATGACGGTACAGGGATCGTACAACTCATACATCTTGTTGAAGTCTGGTACTTCGGTGATGTCCACAAGATAAATAACAGCAAAGTTTTTTACCTAAATGGAAGAAAACAGGAAATAAAATAATATGAATATCCAAAGACTTGATAATATATATTACTGATTAAAAGACATAGGCTTTCTTTTGTTATTGCAACGTTTACTTGGAAAAACATTAACACATGAAATCATGGTAAATAGGTTTGCCACTCTTCAATCAAGAAAGAAACCATTAATGTGGAAAATCCATTTAAATACAGGCAAGATGCCAATTTTGCATCAAGTATCAACCAGGAAGTGACTATGCTAAACAAAACAAAACAAATCAACAGGTAGGGAAACAAGTTCCCCTTGTAGACAACTGAGACATTGCAATAACATGGACAGTTCCAAACAAGTACAGTAAGTGGTCTGTGAGAGCTGGATGACACATTTTACCTCTGTTGTCAACCGTTCACTTGAGAAACCTAATAGTCTAGAATGGCCTTCCTTGTGCCCTTCTCCATGCGTCTCTCTTCCTTTTAACTACTTTTATTTTAATGAAGCTGATTAAATAAAAACAATGGCAGTGGTCATGCATCTACTCTTTAGTGGCCATTTCAGGCCAGGCAGACTCTCGGTGGAGAGGCGTTTTATTTCAGCACCACCTTAGGCAAGCCCTGCAGAGCTCTTCTGATGTCTCTGCCCAGCATTGAACAGGTCCACCAGCTGCAGGAGCAAGTACCATCCCAGACTCAACACAGGGCCCAAGCAGAACAGAGCATCTGAGATGGCTTTATGCAGAGTCAGCTTGAATCCGCCAGGCTCATCTAGCTCAAGCTTTGTATTAAGCAAAAGCAGTTCAAGTAGCTCTGGGTCTGAGCAGGCACGGGAGGAGCTGATCCATACCAAGTCTATGGAGACAAAGCAAAGCTCATTCTCTCCTCATACACTGCAGTGTGAATCCATCACCCAGAGCTGTCTGCTCAAAACTGTTATCTCTGCAGGCAACAAGCTTCTCTATCACCTCACAGTACATCAAAACAACTTAACTGCAACTGGGATGTGATACAGGGATCTCTGAACAAAAATTAAATACAACTCTGAGGAAGCAAACCACTCTAAAAACAGTTACATTTAATACAATTCTAACACAAGGTTGTTAACGTAAACTGAAGCTTTAATATCTAGGCAATGCACAACCAAAGTATGACATTTTAGAAGCTGAACACCTAATAATACAAGCTTATTCAAAAAACGTGTGTTTCTGAATACCACGTCTCTTAACAAATAGTGAAATATAGTAAATCTGCTGGAGTAAGTAAATTCCTTTCTGAAGAAAAAATACTGGTTAATACCTCCTTTTGGACAGAACCATACTTCCCCAAATTCTGAAGATTAAAAACACTCTCAACAGGAACACAAACAAGATACTAACACTTCAAAGTATTTATTTCCAACAACCTGTCTTCATTTACTGTTCAATTCAAAGTCTCCTCAGTTTGACTAGGCTAGCATAGCTGCTGTTGACCATGGGGCACATAGGAGACAAAAATAAATAAAGGCACTCAACTATCAAAACTTCATAAACATATTTATAAAGTCTAGGCTTTAGTTTAGTTTGGGCTCTATTTCCCCCACCTCCCCTGTATTTACTGCAGCTTCACAGATTAGCCTACGTTATTCAAGAGGCATACACAGAAAACACAAATACATTTTTGCCTAGCCATAGTCGCAGGCCAGTATTTTAACAACTTACAGAGCTGTATCTGTTTTGGTAAGCACCAATTTTTAAACCAAATCAGGACACGAACGCAGGACAATCTATATGTTCCTTAAGACTAAAGTTGAATTTAATATACATATTCCATAAATCCTGACTTGTAAAGATCACATTTAGCTGGAAAATGGCAAACACAGGTAAGGAAAAAAATAATATGTCAGATAGAATTATTCTCACTTCTCCAAGGTTCTCCCTCCTGATACTCTTAATTAACAATATCATTCCAGCAAATTGCTGTAACACAAGATTGACACAAAATGTTGACACAATAATACAAGGACGAGGAACAATCATAACAATCATAGGGAGTTTTTCGTTATCTCTCTAGGGAGGGTAAGTTGGTTAAAAATTCCACTCTTTCTGAAATTAGTCTCACAAACCTATATTAGCTTATGGCCAAGAGTAGCCCAGGCTGCATACAGAAAACTTCCACAGAAATCTCTAAAGAGATCCAAAAATGCCTTCTCCTGACCTTCTTCACCTGTTCCTAGATGATGTTTCTAACAGACGTGGAAATCACAGGTGAAAGATACAGTGAGAATAGTTTTTGCAGCAATCCATCCAAGCTGAAGCAGCCTAGCAGGCCGATATTGGTGAACTAAAAGAGACTGCACAGTAAGCACCAAGTTGAAGGTCTACTCTATCAACATTTACTCTCCACGCCAATCTGAACATGCTATTGCAGTTTAGGTGTCACATTTATATGGCTGAAGAGAAAGATGACATCTTGCCAAAGGCAATGCTTGCCATTAACAAGCTTGAAAACTTTGGACAGGAATTAATTTTTTGAGCTTTGCTCCACTTTAATTACAACATCAGTGACCACAATACCAATATATTTTCTACAGACCCCGTCACCTCCGTCTCTTCCTCTCATCTTTCCTGTGATCTTAACAGAAAGGCAAAGAGGAATAACTAACATTTGTGCCAGACACAGCTATTCACACTTTTGATTATCATTAAGTAACTGCAATATATTGGAACAATCCTCTCTAGACCAGCACTGACCCTGTGCAATGTATCTGTTCAAAGCGACCAGGCTTCAAGAGAGGTCATCTGATTTACACTATTCAGTTCTCAACAAATCATAGTTTTAAAATACTTTTTTAAAAAAAGTATGGAAAAAAATATATAAATCTAGCAGTTGAAGCTACACGTTTCAGTGGATGAGCTCATTGTAAAATGCATTTTTTAAAAGCATATTCATAAAGAAAGTGCTCCAAAGGAATTTGCACAACTCACTCCTTAGACTTTTCTTCAGCATGATTTTAAACAAAACAAAGATATTTTACAGCTATAATTTCTTGTGAAACTGAGTGAAGCCTTGCTTCCTTTTTTCGAGGTACAACAATGAAAAAAGTACAGGTTAAAACTAAGCAGAGTACATATCAGTGAAAATTATCTGCTTTGTATTTTTGTATGTTGTTCTAGTTTCTCTTTCTCCAAACAATACAAAAAACCCTATTTTCATATTATGAAGTACAGATAAATAACATCACTGCTCCCCAAAAATATACTTCAGATCAAAAAACCCCAGCACATCATGGTACCAAATATAAATCTCAGCTACATTTTCTTCAAATGTAGTATGCAGTTACAGCATGTTAACATTCTGTGTTTTTCTCTACTATAAGCACCTGTACAATTGGAACTTTTACTCACTCTTTTAAACAGCTGCGAGATCCAAACATGGCTTGTAAGCAAGAGGATGAGGAAGGATCTCCCTCTTTAATTTGCCATTTCTGCAGAGGGAGATTTTTAAATAAAAAGTTATCTTGTTCTTGCTTCCCCCAATCACCCTTAAGTGCCAATATGTCTGCCAAATTGCCAAGCACGCTGCCAAGAGTAAATACTAACTGGATCTATTAGAAAGTCCCACCTCTACAAAAGGTAAATTAAACCACACCATGGCAGTCCTTCCTGTATCCTATTATAGCCTATTACATTGTAACATATGACTATAAGTCGAAGCCTTTAAACATAGGGATATGAAAGAGCAGAAGCTTCTTTCCTTAAAAAATCCACAAAAAGGGGAAGAACCATACCATGAACACAACTGCATGCCTAGTTATGCAGTATGCACACAATTTTACATGAAGATACCCAACTCCTCCTGTCTAAGCTTAAATACTAATATTTGTGGCTCAGATTTTTGACTTCCTTTTCTATGTGGTTCAAAAAATGGCTGTCAACTTGATTATCCAACAGTACACAGTAACCTTACCAGAGAGATAAAAAGGTGAATTACAGCTGATTATAGCTGGGTGTTAACAGAGACTAAATCTTCTTCAGTGTGTACCTGTCTAAAGTGACTGACCAATTGTTGGAAGGCACTGTCTCCATCTGAAATACCTTCAGACTTTGCCTCAGTTATGTCCTAAAATTTAATTAATCCCCTGGAACTCAACAGAATAGCATCCATTTACACTGAGAATATCACTGTTGATTGGCAGCTTCCTGCACTTTTTTGAGCCTTACCATTTTTCAGTGTCCAAATTGGAACAGCTTTTTAGATCAGTCAAATGAGAATCTGACGGTACTGCTCATCCTAGTTGTAAGCAGCTGGTGCCCCACTACCTAGAACCACAGCATCCCTATTACCCAACTCGTGTTTCTGTTCAAATGCCAGCTGGCAGTCACTGAATGAGGCCTCGTTAAAGAGCAGCAAGGCTGCTTTCAGGACATGCAGGCCTCTTTTCACACCGTTAAACACTACAAACAAGGCAGCCGATCATTTTTAGAGGACGCTCTCAGAGGCAAAGACAGCAGCTTTGCTGCCGCCCCCAGAGCAGAACCGCCGCCAACAGCGCACCTTCT